CAGTCAAATTCTCAAGACTTTTTCATTGTCATTAATGACATGTTTCCAGGATATCTTATAAATCCCGCATTCTTGCATATGGTTTCTCTTTCACTACTGCCCGTAACTCCTCGAAATTGAGCTCAGATACCACCGAGCTAGTCCTACCTTCAAGGCTCATTTCTTTCCCTCCCCACTTCCCCCTTCACTGAGCGCATAGACCAAATTGTACTGTATGTCCATGGATAATGCTTAGCAAATATATCCCCGGCTGCATTCTTTAAACTTCAACCCTTTTCCAATAATTAAGGGAGATCCACGGCTCACTAACTTTCTATCGTACATTTTCAGCATCGTAGACTCGATAGATCAAAAGATTCGGGAGCTTCTAAGTAATTGAGAAAAAGTTTTTTATACATATATATTTATAAATCATATCCATATACTTGCATACATGTCCGCATTCTGGTATTGAACAGAGTCTTCAAATTGATTGGTTCATTCAACAGGAATTTATGCACCTTAGTTATAACGAGTGCAAGAAAAGCGCTATTCAACATCACACTAAAGCGCTTTTAGTTCACACTCCACAGCACCGCTTAATCAAAAAAAAGAAAAAAGATGAAGGAAAAAGGTGGGATTACTATGTCTTGCATAACTGTTCACATCTTTTTCTTTTTTGTAGCGCATTAACTTGTGTTACCTACATCAATCCTTCATTTATATGTTCTAAAATGATATTAGATGTATGAGTGAACAGAAAGCTGCTTCTGCTCGACTAGTGCTCTATCAACAATTTCAACTTTCCCTTCACATAATTTTTACATCCATTCAATATTTCTTACCACATCTACCTTTAATATTTTGCTTATCACCTGTTCAACCTCAATCTTTGGCATATCGCTCTTATATAATGAACTTCCTGTTAACTAGTCCTTTCCCTACCTCTAAAAGAGGTCAGTCTAATAATACTTTTAAATAGAGAAGTCATTATGAGAGAATTGTTATTAGGTCCTTCAATGATAATAATGCTGAGTTCCCAAGTCGTACTGTCAGGGACAAAACATTATTTCATTTCACGAATATTTAATGATAAATATACATGGTATCCCCGAAAATCAGATCTCTAA